AATAAATGCATAATACACAATAAAACAATAACAAAACAATAACCATCTCCCACCACCCTCTCTGATGGCTTTCATTAATGAGCAAGGGGATTGTGACTTCTTTGTAGGTTAGGGTAGCAGTGATCCTCTGACAAAGGAAAACAGAAGCATATATGAAAGCTATCACTTTTTAAGCTGCTTGCCAGGATATGGGAGGGGTGTGTGTGTGTTCAGCATCCAATCAAAAGGAAAGGATGTGTGAAAATTTGCAGGTATGCTGAAGCCCCGGGGGATGGTCTCTAATTGCTTCACCTCTATAGGACATTTACTGGACCAAGTCCTACATGCTTTTTCCCTTCTCTTTGATGGAGATGGGAGGGTGTTTGAGGAGGGATGCCTTAAGAGCAGGTGTGGACAATCTCTTGCCCTCCAAATGTTGCTGAGCACCCATGAGCCCCAGCAAAGGGAGTTGTAATTCAGCAGCTTCTGGGGGGGCACAGATTTTTCACACCTGCTGAAAGGGATAGGAGAGGGGGAAAGCTGCCTCACACCTGTTACTGCAAGCATGGAGAACTCAGGGCTCCAGCTTCAACCAACATGGGATGATTGGACCTGTCACTAGCAGCAGCTGCAGAGACATGAGGTTCTGCATGCAGAATTTTACTTGCAGAACACTTACTACAGCCAATATGTCCATTAGGTTCAGTTATCTGCTGGTGTTCTCCAGAAATGGTTCCCTGCTTACAGAACAAAGGTTCCTTCTCATGTCCCCTTGCTTACATTGATTTCAGAAAGTATACTTTCATATGAGCCTTGACAGCTGTAATCTCACATCAGCATTTAGAATTCCACACAATGCAGCCATCTATCAAGGGGGCAAAAGAATAAGCATCTGCCATGCCAATTTTTTCTCTCCAGATTAGCTATTTACTGACACTGAAATGCTAATAATGTCTCAGATACATTATCATCACAATAGTTTAGTTTATCTCTAGGAGTATATACTCCAGCTGTAAAATATCAACCATTATGGCTTAAACAGCGTGCTTTATGCAATGCTAACCAATTTGAGAACTGAAAGAATTGATTTATATGCTGTTTCAAAGGAGTTATTCCCGTTTACCAGGGTTGCCATCTCCTGGCCTGTAGGGAAGTTTGCTTTCTTCCCTCTTCTTAATAACTGCAGCTCAACTATCAAATGAAGCTTTGCCCATTACAGCACTGCATTGTTGTGGGGAAAATAACCACTCCTGCATATGATTGTAATAATAGCGCAGAATCTAATAGGTGCCTCTGCACTCATGAAAGGGCTTCTGAGCTGACAGAAGAGGAGTGGAGTGGAGTTTTGCCTATTCCTCCTTTCTACTGCATACCCCCAGGCCACCTTCCACCCTTTTCTGGATTATTTCCCAAACTCTCACGAGCTGAGTTTTGGAGGGCACTGGTTGCCGCAGGGAGGAATAGAAAATCAGTGAAAGTTGCTTCCCCACTCTTCCACTACCAGAGGAATCTGCTGGATCAAATGTCATTCTGCAGCCACTAAGTGGATTCCATGCATGGTGCAACTGGGTAAAGAATTGGGTCCACTGAGTTCAGCTTTGAACTTCCAGCAGTGGCAAATCACATGCCTCTAAGTCAGGTTGGTGTCCTCAAGATGTTCGTGGACTCTTGTCTTGACCCCATCTGTGTAAACCCATCCAGGTAAGCTGCAGTGATGTCAGGAGAACAGCTCCACAGCTCCATCCTGCCACATGGGCTGCTACTGATATTTTTTCCTGCAAGAAAATATGGCTACCTCTCTAGAAAGTCTTCCTTTTGTGCCCCTTGCCCATTATTTCCCCATTCCTTCAGAAGAATTTCTTTGTTCACAGCCTATCTTGTTGGGAATAGCAATTATTCTCCACTTTAAGATTCCAAAGGCACACTAGATCTCCCACTTGTATTTTATAATACAACATCTTGACCCCTGTTCCTTTGTCAGTTTTATTATTTTTCCAGGGATTGATCATTATGGCCCTATTTGACTAGGAAGGTAAAAACGTAAGTTCATGAAACAAATCACAAGATTTTGCTGCCTAAATAATATTCTCATTTTAAAGAATCATTTCATTCATATTTAATAATAATAAACAATGTTTTTTATTATTTATATGCTGCCCATCGGACTTGGTTTCCCCAGCCACTCTGGGCTGCTCCCTGCAAAATAATAAATGCATAATAAAACCTCAAACATTAAAAAAAAACTTCCCTGTATTTAACTCACTGTATTTATTTTACTTAATATGCCCATGCAATTTAAACAAGTTGGTTTCTTCAATGGTAGATATTTGGGCACATATCCCAAACACTAACAGAGTTTTGAAGCTTTAAAATCAAATTTTGAAAACTAGCCATGAGTTGATAATTTGTTTTCTGTGTTCAGTCTGATGCCCAGGGCTAAACATTTTACTTGTCCTGCTGACAGCACCTTAAAATTGGCCAGGAGATGTTGTCATATCCAATTTTTTGAAAAGTGCCGTTTCTGAACAATAGAACAAAACCAATATTCCAACTAGATCAATGTTTTTCACATTTGTTGGGCGCCAGTGGGGGGGAAAGGTCCTCGATGAAATTATTGGGGATTGAGAGGACACACAGTGACAGACAAGCATTCAAGAGAAACAGTTTTTCCACACCAAATGAATAGCCCCTAAAATGCAGAGAGTCAGCAAATAGTTGTGTGCGCTTAGGAAACAACAGCGAGTTTTGGACCATTGGCCATGGAGATGATAGCAATTGTAGTCCAAAACATCTGGAGGGCAGCAGGTTGGGCAAGAGAACCAAGTGTTGTGCCCTAAAACACTGCCCAGAATCCTTTGCAGCTTGCTGGTAAACAGAGGCTCACCAGCCAGCCACCCCACGTGGAAATCCACCCAGGACAGCACTTTGTAGGGCACAGTGATTTTGCTGAAATCACAAGTGGGAAGAGATTTATTTCTTCATACAACAATAATACACATGCTTTTTCTGCATGGTGCAGACCCTCACCAGGAGGGTCAACACTAGGATGGATCCCCAAAAAACTTTTGTACCCATTGAAATTTCACCACTTGGCAGAATGCTATGGATAACCAGCTTATCTAAGCAATTCTTTGCATGGCAAATTGTGGACACCAGTGGTCTCTCTCTTGTGGCCCCATCTTACATTCAATGAATTCATTTCAGGACACAGAAGACAACATAAATAACCTTACCCCACACTTCTCACTGATAATATAACTTAGTTCGATCTCTTCCTTTTCAACTGGTTCAGCTTGTACCTAAGGGCCTAGTTCTCACTGAGGTGAAAGATGTGTTTCTTGACTGTACAATTTCAGAGCAGAGCTGAATGACTGAATGCTCCTCAAGAAAGAAAGAATTTTCCCACAAAGAAAATGTGGGTACCTCACCCAAAACCATCCAGATATTTGTTTGGAGATATTTGTTTCCTCTCCTTGTGGAACTTCATTCAGGCAAGAAAGCACATGTGGTCTGAAATTTTACACCTGAGACTAAAGCTGACCACCTCAGGGCCAAACAAGGCATTTGCTGGATAGTATGTAGCAATGAATACCTCAGATTTTGTTCTTGTTACAGTTGTGGAGTGAGAAATCCATATGGAAAACATAGTGCATGAGGAAACTTATCTCTCAGGGGGCAGCACTTTGTGGGGCCCAGCACTTTCCTTAGTGTCCCGCTTTTCCTTAGAATGTCCATATTTTCATCAGAGAAATGTTGGAGGGTATAGCAGGATGTCCCTGTGTTCATTGGACAAATAGTGGGGGGTATGGAGGTATGTGACCCCTCAGCCAAGGAGAGAGGTAACTATACAAACTTTACAATACATTTGAAGGCAGCCCTGTATAGGGATTTCACCCCCCCCCAATGTTTAATGTTTTGTTGTGTTTTTATATATATTGGAAGCTGCCTGGAGTGGCTGGGGCAACCCAGTCAAATGGGTGGAGTAAGAATAAAACAGCAGCAGCAGCATAGGACGTCCCTATTTTCATTGGAGAAATCTTGGAGGATATGGAATAGAACGTCCCTATTTTCATGGGATAAATATTGGAGAGAATGGAATGGAACGTCCCTATTTTCATCAGAGAAATGTTGGAGGGTATGCATGAATGTGTCTAATCCTCATTTAAATTTACCTGTCTTCCAGCATCTCACTACTACCCTCATCTTCGCAGCATCTACTGCCTGGGATGACTGCCCTCTGTTCTCCCTAATGGTAGGGAGACCCTGAAATTGTAGCAAGGATTGGCAAGAGTGGAGAATCTTGGATGACATGGAATAGAACATCCCTATTTTCATGGGATAAATGTTGGAGAGAATGGAACAGGACGTCCCTATTTTCATCAGGAAAATATTGGAGGGTATGGAATAGGACATTCCTATTTTCTTCGGAGATGAGGGCACCAGGAGAAGGGGACTACGGAGGACGAGATGGTTGGACAGTGTTCTCGAAGCTACCAGCATGAGTTTGACCAAACTGCGGGAGGCAGTGGACCTGGCGTGCTCTGGTCCATGGGGTCACGAAGAGTCGCACACCACTAAACGACTAAACAACAACAACAATTTTCATCGGGGAAATGTTGGAGGGTAGGGGATAGACCATCCCTATTTTCATGGGATAAATATTGGAGGGAATGGAATGGAACGTCCCTACTTTCATCGGGGAGATGTTGGAGGGTATGGACCTTCCAAGTATCCCTATTTTCTAGAGAGTTCTGGATCCGCAGAAGCCACCCCGTTTTCTGACTTGATCCCAGAACGTCCCACCTTTCCTTAGGACATCCCTATTTGCATGGGAGAAATGTTGGAAGGCACCTCGAGGTCTCCAGAAGGGACACCAGAGGGGTTGTGGGTGGGCTAAGAAGTCAGGACTGACCCCTCAGCGCCCATCCCACACCGTCCCTTTGCGCAAGCCCCCCCCCCACTAACCACGGCCTCTGGCGCTGACCAGCTGCCTCCCTGACCCCCACCCCCGCCCCCAGGGCTCGGTGATGTCACATCCGCCGGTCAGCCCTGCGCAGCGCCCGCCTGGCTCCGCGCTCTTCGGGGTCAGGAGGGGACCGGCAAACTTTTCTTCTCCCGCCTTTCCCCCCCTGGCAGGGTGGGCTGGCTGCTGTGACGGCGGAGGGAGGAGGGGGCGGAGAGGCGGCTGTGGCGGGGCGTGCGCGACGCGGCCCGCCCGCTTCCCTCTGCCCTCTCGCCGGCTGGCTCTCTCCATCTCTCTCCCTCCGCCTGGACTGGGCGCCCCCTCCCGCCGCCGCGCTCCCTCCTCGCTCCGAGAAGGATGCCTGCGGAATGAATGAGCGTCCCCCGGGCTGCTGCCGCTGCCGCCGCCTCCCGCTGCCGCCTTCTCCTGGCTGTGGCAGGCGGGCGTGCAGAAAGTGGCACTGACTAGAGGGGTCCCTGCAGTGACTGATGAAGGAGAGGCTGAGCAGGGAGGAGGAGGAGGAGAAGAAGAAGAGGAAGAAGAGGAAGAGCAGCAGCAGCCCAGCAGCCCCGGGAGCAGCATGCAGCCCTCCGCCAGCATCCTCAACCTCTTGCTCGTGGCTCTCTTGGCCGGCTTGGACCCTTCCAAGGTAGGAGATGCAGGAGGAAGGACCCTCCGCAAACATTGCCCGTTCTCTTTCTCGCCTCTGGAACTACTAGTTGACCCCCTTCCTGCGATATTTCCTTAAGTTCTTAAAATCATAATCATATCCCCACCGTTTTAATGGGGCAGGCAATGGGGGATTTGGGGGAGGAAGGGGATTGTATATACTGTATATATTCCTGCTTCTTTGCTTCCCAGCGCATCCTTTTTGTCTTCCTAGCCATGGGTGCGCTGTAGTTTTTGCCAAAAGGGGAGGGGAATGGATGGAGTGGGGCTTTCCGCAAACACAGCCTGGGCTGCTTTTTTCCGTCTTGTTTGAAAAGGCAGTGTGTGTGTGTGTGTGTGTACGCGCGCGTTCACCTTGCAATGTTGGAAAGTGGTCAATAAGGCAAACAGCAGAGGGGCACTGCAGGCTGCCTTCCCCCAAACAGTTGGAAGGATGAGGATGTGCGCTCTCTCTCTCTCTCTCTCTCTCACACCACACACACACACACACACACACACACAGAGACAAACATCCTATCCGGTCTAATAACAAAGCGGACACTGGGTGGTACCCAGCTTAATCCTGCTCAAAGGAGACCCCTTGAAGGAAGCCCCTTGAATTCAGAGGGTCTCCTGTGTATACGGCTAATGTTGGCTTGCACCCTTTCTTCCTGGATAACTTGCTCTGGTTGTGTTGTTGGGTATCCCTCCCTCTCCCTCCCCCTCCCCCAAATCTTACTATACAAGTTTTGTTGACGATCACCCACATGGAAAGGAGACGGGTGATGGATACAGGTTAGAACACCAGGAATGCTGCGATTGGCTTTCCCCATGGACAATGTCTTATCTGTTGAACTCTGGAAGCTGTCCCAGCCTTAGCTGGAAATGACACCAGAACAGCCTAGCCGTGGACAAGGGATGGGTTTATTCATAGCGATCAGGGGATGCATAAAATCTGTAGCCCTTTGGAATCACGGGGAGAAGCATCCCTCCAGAGGAAGAATAAAGGCACGTGCCTTTATATTGCAGAAGAGGAAGGGGGGGAGGTTGGGCTTCTCCCTTCCACTAGTCATGTGCAATTGCAATTGCCCTCAGGTTGCAGAGAAGCATCATCATCACCATTATTTTCCCCCAGTTACATTTGTGAGAGCAAATAAGCTTTGCTCTGCAGTTGAATGACAGCCCCTTAAAAACACAAAAAAACCGATGCTGCCTGGCTTGGGCTGGGAATTTGAAAAACCATTCCATCAGACCTTGAAAATGAGACTTGTCGAAAGCCATTAGTAAGAGATGAGTGAAGTCCAGTAGGCCTGGCGACTGCATGTGCTGTTCAGCACAAACCTGAAGCCACGGAGTGGAAGATTTGCATTGTGTGCCACCTCTGGATGACTTGATGTCTATCTGCTGATATAAAATACCCATTGTGGGCCTTCCGTGGTGTGTGTGGTCTCCACACCGCATGCCGGTGAATGCTTTACGGAGGCATTGAAGTGCCAAACAAGGAGTGTGGACTATTTTCGGGGCTTGTAAACAGCATTTTGTGTTTTGATGGATGTCAGAATTGCTCACATCAAAAGCATGTAATCTAGGGTGTTCAGCTTAAATATAGAAACAATCTTCAAACTGGCGATTGAGCTGAAACTTCAGATTGGTTTACTGGGGGGAACACGATTTAGGTATGGGGGCATGGGAAAAGCCATGAATTGTAAATACCGCACAAACGTTTCTTGTAGAAAATGTGTGTTTGCAGTAGGGCTGATTTTATGAAAGCATGGAGTCCTTTTGCAAGCAATTTGTAGAAACAGTTTTGATAAAAGTGACTATTGATTCATTCTATGTTTAAGGTTAAAACGGAGAGCAGCTCAGGTTTGTCTTGATCGTACTCTCTCTAGTTGTACTTTTAGGATCTCTTCATGTGTGTTGAGTCTTGGTATACTGAAAAAGAGTTTAGGGATTCCAGCCTGGTGAGCATTTTATCAATAGCCTTAGCCTCTGGGTAAATAGACAAAAATTGTGCTCACAGCTTCTCATATGCCTGTGTTGAGTTACACCTCTGTAAGATATATATATATGGAAGAAAGCCATCCTATTTTCCTTCCAATCAATGTGTTCCTTTAAAAGAAGAGTTAGAGGCAAAACTGGACTGCCCCCCCCTTTTAGAAGATTAGTCGTTGGGCCACAAACATAAACTTATTTTCTTTGGAGAAGTTCCACAGTGAGCTGGTGTGTTTGTCTTGTCTTGTTTTTAAAGTTGTCTTTAGGTTTTTTCCTGAACTGTTTGAAAAACTTTTTTATTTTTGCTCTTGTTAGCGACATATGTAAAAGGTGAAATGCTAATTATCCCAATGATGATATTAATAATGTCAAGTGTGTTTATGATTAGGGGCCCCTCCCCCTCAAAAAAATGAATGGGGGGGGAGAGCTTAAATGCCCAGTACAGCTGGTTGTCCTCACTTTCCTCACCTGTAAAATGCATAGCTGTCAACTTTTCCCTTATTTAAAGGGAAATTCCCTTATTCCGAATAGGATTCCTCGCAAGAAAGGGGAAAAGTTGACAGCTGTGGTAAAATGGCACTTAATGTTCTCTATTTCACACAGTTCTTCAAGCGGCAAATCAATATTTTCTAAAAAGTGTTGTGAATAAGAATAACAACAAAGTACAGGATTGCTCCAGCATAAGAGGTTTGAGAGCTAGGGCAGAACCAAATGTTCCAAAGTTACCTCTAGAAACTGTGCTAAGTATGTTTTAGTGAACAACAACAAAGCCCCAACCTCAAGAGTTCTGTGGCATCTTGAAATTGATACAGTTATTTCAGCATGAGCTTTCAGGAGCTGCAGCCCATTTCATCAAACAAATTAAGTGGCCAGAAAGTCTTTTGCTTCCCGTTCCCCACACCCAAAATATGGGAGAGGAGAGGAGAGGAGAGGGAGGGAGAGGAGGCCAAAAACAAAGGAACTGCAACAGTTAGGAGCAGGCGTGACCTGATCTGTGCAGAACACCAGTGGATTCAAGATGCAGTCAGATCAGGTTGGTTTGTTTGTTTCAGCAAAACTCAAGGTCAGTATCGACATGCATGGAACAGTCTCCTAATGTTTCATTTCTAACTGAAAACCAGTTACTATTGCAGGTTGCAAGTTTATGCAGAGGAATGGTGGAGGGAGGGACTGCTTCACTGCATGCTTTGGGGGGGGGTGTACTAAAAATTGCCTCCTCTCTGCTACTTTTGCACCCACAGGGGAAAAGAGACTGGAATGCAGCTCTGCCCCCTCCCCACAAGTGAAAAACCAGCTTTTGCCATTTTGAGCAGAAAAGCCGGAGGATAAGTGCTAGATCCTTTCCACCTGCCACATCTGCATCCCGAGGGCAGCCTCCTGCAGCTGCGTGTATTTGTTTATTTAACATTTCTCTTACAATGTCTAGTGTGGCCATTGGCAAAAAGTCTCCACGCCTATGTTAGTAAGCCACCTGTTTCGATGAGCCAAAATGAGACTGGAAGTGGGAGGTCAGGACAAACTTTTCGGACTGTTTCAAACCTTTGTGGTAGCGTTTTCTTGCTACGCGGAGGTGATGGCAACGACTTTCCATTCTGTACACAGGGGCTTTAGGGGGGTATCAAAAAGAGAGACTTAGGTGAAAACAATTTTTACATGGCAGAAGGAGCATATCAGTCTGAACATCGTGCCTTGAGGATCCTTCTGGATGCAAATGGTGAAATGGAATTCTAATACAAAAATAAGATTCTCTAAGATTAAAGTTTTCACTTTAACATAGCTCTCCTGGAATTTTCTGAACCAAAGTAGAGAAAATACATAGAATCATAGCAGTGTAGATTGGAAGGGACCCCGAGGATCATCCAGTCCACCCCCTGCAACGCAGGAAACCTAGATATATATGTAATTTGCAAGCTTCTTGAAGCAAAATGCCTTTCTCAAGTTTCTTACTGAATTCGAGAATGCAGGTTTTCCAGTGAGTTTCCAAGAGACACATCTCAGACGTCAAATGGACAGAGTTGAGAAAGAGTTTGCTTTTCTTCTTTCTTTCTTTCTTTCTTTCTTTCTTTCTTTCTTTCGTCAGCAATGCTTATCAAATCATTTTCTTTTCTTGGGTGCAACTCTTCTCCCTTTAGAGTTATTATACTGTTGCATGCTGCCCCAATCTCTGAGCAGTGCGAGATTCCAGGCTCTAAACCAGAGTTTGTGTTTCCTTTTGCAATGAGACAAAGTGGAGACTGTGGTGTCCTTATGATACATGGTTTATTTACACATATATACAATGGGAATCAAACAGAAATCAAACCAGCCTCAGATGTTGCTCTGACTCTCTCACATCACTGCAAACTCTCAACTCTCAACTCAGACTTTGTCCTTCTAACTATCTCTGAGTTGAGGGAGGGGCCACACCCATTTCCCATCTTGCACAGAGCCCCCTTTGTTTTGTTCTCTTAATTGCCCTTCATTTCAGCATAGGGATATAGCCTGGCTTCAGTGCAACCAACTGAAGATACCTGGGAGCCAGAATGGCACCTGACATCTCCACCATTTGAAGGTGCATGCCTGGAGATCATTGGATCTGGACTGTTTTTGTACACTAATGCACCATCCTGTGTAATTCTATCAATTGTATTTTATCTGGAAAACCGGAATGGATTTCTGGAACCAAAATGCTTTCTTTCTGTGCAGCCTGAGCAGGAGCAGTTACCATTAAGAAAAAGAGGTTGGAATGGGCCAATATTCCAACTGCCCCTGGATCAAGAGACTTTTCTCCTTTAAGTCCTCAAAGCTCTCAACCTAGCTCAAGGTTCTAATCTGAACTAACCATATGTTGAACTGAGAATCAATCACAGTCAGTCCATCATTTGAAAAATAAGACTTTAGAGCCATTTTGTCTCAAAATGGCAGCTAGACATTCCATTTTGGTGACTGTAACCTGGGTTTAAGGTGCCAAAGGGCACCTATCTTATATATCTGAGTTTCTAACACTGTCTGGTTTACATTTTGACA